GATCGGACCGCTGCTGGGCCAGCTTCCGCCCGAGCTTGTGCACTTGTTCCAAATCGCGGTCCACCTTCTTCTCCAAGCGTTGGATCTTCTTGAAAGCTGCATCTGCCCTCTGCTGAGGAGGGAAAGGTTCCTGCTCCATCTGCGCCACCTTCTCCTGAGCCATAGAGCGGAAGGAGGCGTCGCAGACCTTGGCGCTGAGCTCGGCGAGCTGCTGGAGCTCACTCTTAGTTGCCGAACTGGTGATTGCGGGGCAACCTGGCAGGGGCTCGCCTGAAACTACATCTGATGCGGCACGACGGACATCAGCAACTGCAGCCCCACGTGGCAGTCCACCACTGGCCGAAAGGTCACCAGGGACGGGTTCCTTCCAATGCTGACCACAATATTTGGACAACTTGTATTGCCACACGTTCTTCTTGCACTGGCAGTGTCCACAAGTCCAACGTTGAGACGAATAATTCTTACCATTGCGAGACTTGTCACAAGGAACCGCGCAGTGTCGCCGTGAAATAGATGGGGTGCCTCCGAGCCACTCTGGCCCGCGAACACCAAGCCGCTCTGAAGACAGGTCGCCTCAGGCACATAAAAACAAAATGTTTGCGCCAGAACGGCTGGGAGGAGGAGGTGAAGCAGGAGGAGTAGGAGGAGGAGGGGGATGAAGAGGAGGAGGATGAGGAGGAGGAGCAGGAGGAGGAGGAGGAGGACGAGGAGGAGGACGAGGACGAGGACGAGGAGGAGGACGAGGAGGACGAGGAGGAGGACGAGGAGGAAGACGAGAAGCAAGACGAGGAGGAGGAGAAGGCGGCGACAGAGGACGAGGACGCAGAGGAAACGGATACTCCTCCGCCAAGGCCCTCAGGGACGGGCTCTACAGGCGCCCAGGGCAGCAGAGCGGAGCATGACAGGACGGCGGCCCCTCCCTCCTCCCGCCCCGTCGCCTGTTTTTGGATTCGTCTTCGGTAACTCGCTTGGTAGTTTACCGTTTTGTGCATCGTCGAAATGTGCGTGCTCGCATTTTCCAATCGTCCCAATTCTCCCCCATTCCTGTATCGGCGCGCTCGGAGTCGATTTGGCGGTGCCCGTCATTTCCTGCCAGCATTCTGTCGACATGCTGCCCGTTTCTGTTCTCACCCAACGCTTCTGTTTCTAATTGGCTTCCTCCCCTTTCCTGCGCCGCCAATGGTCTCTCTCTCTCTCTCTTTCACTCCCTCCCTCATCTCTCCAGCTGCTCCGTTCGGGGGAGGGCCAATTAAGACAACGGCAATTTCCCAGCTAGCCAGAATCCTTTTCAGAATTGGTCCTAGGACCCGTCCTGAGGCCCATCCTGACCCGCTGTCCAAGGTGGACCTGGCCGCTGCGACGGGACTCGGGGGCGACGATGGGGGCGAATGGCCCAGGAGACACGAGAGAACAAGCCATGTATCCAAGGGCGTTGATGGGCCATGCCTTCGGCGAGGCTCCTGGCCGAATACGTGTAATCCCCGCCTCTGGGCTATTCGTCCCTGTCGTCGCCTCCGGGATAAGACTCTGGGAGGCCGAAAATGAAGCAGCCTGGCGACAGACCGAACCACAGGCAGCTGTGAGTACCGCAGTCGTGAGTCTCGTCTTCGGTGGAGCTCCCTATGGGGCCACGAAACGTGTGAGATGTTCGCCAAAATGGGGCGGCGACGACATGCGAACCCTGGCCTTCGGTGGAGCTTCCTACTGAACCACGGAACGTGTCAGGAGTTTGCCAAAATGGGGCGGCGCCGCCACGCGAACCCTGCAACTGGGACATTCGGTGAAGCTCCCTGGGCGTGCCAAAATGTGGCGGCACCGCCATGCGAACCCTGCCACTGGGGCCTTCGGTGGAACTCTCTATGGAACGACGAAGCGTGTGACGGATGTGCCGAAATGGGGCGGCGCCGACACGCGAACCCTGCCACTTGGACCTTCGGTGGCGCCCCCTATGGGGCCACGAAACGTGTAAGGGGTGTCCCGAAACGGATGATGATGCTGCTAATAATGATGGTGATGATGGCTGTGGTGGCGATGATGATGATGCTGATGATGGTGGTGAAGCTGATTATGCTGATGAGGGTGATGGTGATGATGCCGATGACGGCTCTGGTGTTGGTTATGATGATGATGATGATGATGATGATGATGATGATGATGATGATGATGATGATGCTGATGAAGCTGATGATGATGACGGTGATGATGGCTGTGGTGGTGGTGATGGTGATGATGGTGGTGGTGATGATGATGTGAGGAGGGAGGAGGGGGAGGAAGGAAGCGGGAGAAGGAGAACGCGGGGCGCTGTCTCACCAGAGCGAAGGCCAACCACCACAGGATGGTTGGGGAAAAAACGAGCCACGCCGGGGAGGGCCACCGTGGTCTCGACGGGCCCTCCTCCGACCGACGGCTCCATCGTCCACCCGAAAGGCTTCGCAACAGGAGGAGGCCCTGAGAGCGCGTTTCTTCGTGTTCGGCGATGACGGGCGTCGTGCGGGGGGGGTATGACGTAACGCCCCCCCCGCCGTGTACGCGCACTGGGGGGTAGCGTCACGTTATAAAGGGGGGGGGGGGAGCGGGGGCCATGAGGCCCGCAATGCCTCAAGCAATAAAGAAACGGGCTCTGACCTTTGGGAACGGGCGGGGCCACCCCCAGTCACGGCATCAAAGATGCTTCAAGCGAAATGGGCCGGACCACCTCTCGCGCGGCGTCTGGGAGCCCACAGTTGCGAGGGCGTCTCGACCGAAACGGGCCGGACCGCCGCAGCATTCTGAGAACGTCTCGGCGCGCGGTACCCTCTGGCGGCACGCATGCTTACCACAACCACGCCCCGCGGAACTGGCCGGGCGACCCTGGAACAGTCTACAACAAAACCTTGAGAACGACAGCAAACAAAAACCTCCCATTGCGGAAACACAAAGATCGGGTGAGCGACAAAAATAAACGGGTCTTACGCGAGATGACATATCAACCTTGCGCGGCGACTCACGCGGGCCGCCGGCGCGGCTCACCACAACGGGGACGAGCGCGCTTACGCGCGACCTTACGCGGACCGCTTACGCGCCAATGTCGGCGCAGCCGGCCCTTTTTCGCTTGCGTCGCTCAAGTGGTTTTGTTATGCAGGGTTGTCCAGCCAAGCCGCCCTGATGGATGATCCCTGATGCAGGGATGGGGACCTGAATTGGGCCACGTCTTCATGGTGTAATTCGGGTTAGGGGTTCTGGTGTTCTCGATGAAGAAACGGAGCGGGGAAAAGGTTCACGTGTAGATGCAGAGGGCGCCAGCGCCGGAGTGGCGTGCCCATCGCCGGCAGGCGGCGTGCTCGAGAAATCGCCAGCGGGCCCAGGTCGAACGGAGAGAAACACAGAACCGCCCATGACCCCCCTTCAGATTGTGTTGCTGTCTCCCCCGGGCTGCCTCCGACGGACGTGTCAAGGCGTGGTTTCCACCACCACGCAGCATTTTTTCCTCCGTGCATGCTGCCATTGCCCTTCGCAACAGCCTGTGCTTGCTGCTAGCTACGTCTTGGAGGGACAAATGGAAAAAGGGGAGGCTGAGTCCGAGACGGAAGCAGGACAACAGCGGCAAGAGACTCAGACACAAAAGCGGCCAACGAACCAGAGACGAATCACACACACACACACACACACACGCACACACACACACACACACACACACACACGCGCACGCACGCAGGCCCGAACGCGCCCGCCCGCCCGCATGCACGCACGCACGCACCCCACCCCCATACACAGAGACAGACAGACAGCCAGCCAGCCAGCAAGCCAGCCAGCCAGCCAGCCAGCCAGCCAGCCAGCCAGCCAGCCAGCCAGCCAGCCAGCCAGACAGACAGACAGACAAACAGACAGACAAACAGACAGACAGACAGACAGACAGACAGACAGACAGACACACACACACATACACACACACACACACACACGCACACACCACACACATGTTTCCGTCAGCGGCGAGGGCGTCGAATCCGCTCCAGCGAGAAGCTAGAAAAGGGGTACTGACTAGCAAATTGGCCGGCAGGCAAAGAGGTGGGGGTGACGGCCGAGAGGAAGAAGGGACGCTCAAACGTCGAAAAATTCGACGATGAACAGCCGGGGAGGGGCAGCGACAGCCAGACGCGCAGGATCAGGGCGCGGTGGGCGGCCGTGGCAAACCACGGTGGCAAGGATGGCGAAAACACACACAACACACACACACACACGCACACACGCACGCACATTCACACAAACACACACACATACACCACACACACACACACGAAAACGACACCGACCAAGGTCCGCACTGCCCTGTGTCGTCTCTGGGGCCCACCGGGAGCCCGATCCCTCTCTCTCTCACTCTCTCGCAGTTCCAACATGAATCCCTCAAAGCACATGCACAAAGGAGGGGGACGGGGAGGAAGGGGGAGCGGGCCACCCGCCGGCGCCGCCGCCGCTGCCGCCTGGCCCGCGGCCCGCCGCCCTGCTCCGCACGGCGCCGCAGGCCGGCACTGCGCAGGCGCCGCGTCCAGCAGGGCTCGGGCAACGCCCAATGCCAGCCGGGCGCTGATCAACGTCCGCGAGCGAGCGCCCCAGCGCGTGGGCAGGACGCCACGGTCCCGCTGGCGCTGCGCCACCAGGACGACAAGCTCGTCCAACAGGTTGGAAAGCCTGCCGTCTATGCGGCCCCAGGTCTCCACGGCGCAGGGGATCGCGGACTTGCCCCCTGTGTCCGGGCAGCGGTCCTCGTTGCACCGGACGCCCTCCGCAGCGGCAGCGCCCGGCGTCACGGCAGCAGCTGGCAGGATGTGCGCGGCCGCGGGGCATGGCGCACCGCGCCGTCGAGGAGGCGCTCTGGGACCGTCGGATGCCCGAACCAGTTCTACATTCAGGATGGCCTCTTCCAGGACCCCCCTGCCGTCCCGGCGCCGCTTCTTGAGGCCGAGACCGGGGATCGTCTGCCCCAGCCGCGCCGAGTATAGCCTGCGTCGCGGCCAGCCTGCGCCAGAACGCCGTTCAGCGAGCCGTGCCGCATGGAAATGTAGGGGCCCGTATTGCAGCAGACAGCGTGGTCACCGTGGATGTCCAGAGCCTTGCCGCAATGGTCAGACTGATCCTTCGATTTCGCATGCATGCGCAGTAAGCCGGCAGGGTACACTGGCAGGCCGAGCCTGAACTTGACAGCCATGACAAACTTGCCGTCCGTGGTTTCTAGCCACCACGACGCCGGGAATTCAGTGAGCCACGGGCTAGAGACAGACCCCGCGCAGCTCGGCAGGCGCGCCGAGCCCCGCTGCGACCCACAGAAGCGGACCCGCAGAGCTTCGTGCAACTCGGACTGCAGAGCCTGCAGTAGCACAGCGTGTACCTTGCGCGCTTGGCCCCAAATCATAGAAGCTGGGCCAGCTCGGCGAAACAGTGTGCAACGCCGCCCAAGCCCACGACTTTTGCGATGCGCCTCTGGCCAAAGCCGAGATCCTGGAGCCTCCGCTCCACTGTCGGCAAGTACTGGACAGCCCCAGCGAGGTGCGAACATAAACCTTTCGAGGCGCAGCTGACCAAGTCGCAGCCTCCCAACTTAGCAGACAACCTCAAGCACGACGCCTGCGTCACGGTGAGCATGCCACCGCGTGCTGCTTTGCAAGATGTGGTCCACGCGGCGCGGTCCAATCGCTCCGCAAGTGTGGAGAAAGACTCCGGGTGAAGGACGCGGGCGTCGTAGTCCAATGCCTTGCTAAGCACCCTGTCCAGTAGCGTCCAGACAGCGCGGTGGACAGGTCTCGCCAGAGTTGTGCGCTGCATCTCCTGTAGCGTCTGCGCCGGCACCTCTGCCTGCTCCAGCCGCTTCGTCGAAGCAGCCGGCGCGGTTGAGCACCCGATCGACGCCGCGCGCTGGCCCTCGAGAGCGCGCCCCATCAGCTCCTGACTGCCGAAGACCTGCGGTAAGCCTGCCGCCGCCAGGGCCCGATAGGGCCGATGAGCAGCAGCAGCAGGTATCCATACCTTGGTCTTGCGGAGGTTCAGGCAGAAATTAACGGTGCCACGGGCGTCCACCGGGAGCGGGAGCCAAGATCCAGCCATGTCCGGCATCAGCTTCATGAGCACGTCGTCCCATCACCAGCGCAGGCTGACGCAGAATACGCTTCGAGAAATCGACGAAGAGCACGGCGGAGCCCCAAGCAGAAAAACGAAGAAGACAACATGTGCCCCTGATACAGACCATCCACCACCGAGAAGCAACTCCAGGCAACTGGCAAAGACGCCGTGTAGACAGGCGTGCCGACGGAACCCCACAAGTTGAGCAAGTAGGGGGCTATCTCCTGGATCTCCTTGTGCACCTCTTCCATGATCTCTGCCCTGGAGACCTCGCCGAAGGCGTTGTGCATGTCGAAGGCGCAGAAGGCGTCGCCAGGGCGCAACTCGGCCAAAGAGTTGCCGATGCACATGGTCTCTGGAGCTGCTTGAACTCCGATGCCGAGCTGGGTGCCCGAAAGGAGTTCCGCGACCTTGTGCTGTACCATTTCCTGTAGGCAAGCCACGGGCAGCGACGACAAGGTCTCTCCAATCATAATGGGCCTGACATCGGCCCCGTCGTCGCTTTTCCAGAGAGGCGCGCCCAAAACAGACCGCCAGGGCGCCGCCATGACCTAGCCAGATGGAGCAGCGAGGCCGGAGGGGTCGGAGGCGATGTTCTTGAGCTTTGAGTTCCTCCAAAAGCTGGTGCTCGAGGCCGTGCAATCAGCTGTCCGAGCCACGACCGCGTTGACGATCTTCGGCCGCACTACCGGCGGCTTGCACCGGGCGGCCCTCCGCGCCAAGCCGGGGCGATTTCCGAGAGAATCTGTGGAAGGGTCCGTGAGGAACTCGCCTTTCATGAGGTTGACGGTCTCACTGCAGGAGGGGTGCACGCCGCTGCTCGCCAAGATCCGGCGCCCCGTTCGAACGTCTCCGCGCAGAACCTTGAAGACGCTCGACTCGAACTGGTTCCTCCGCAACTCGTCGGAATCTTCCGAAGCAGCCTGAACCCGTCGCTCTGCAGCTCCAGCGGCCGCCGCCGTGGCATCAGCTGCTGCAGCACGCGCTGATTCATGCCATTCGCCCCGTTCGAGCATCTGGAGTTTATGCCGGACGATCGGTGTAACGCCACTGGCATCTTGAGGCAGACCGGCATCAACGCTGCGTGCGGTTCCCCGGAGGTCGCGCGACACAAGGAAATCCAAGTGGCGTAAGAACAACGATGCGCACTCCGCCCGCGCCGAATGCGTCTCCGAGCGCTGCTTCTCTGAGAAGAACCAGTTCAATGCACTACTGGCGACTTTGCTGTGCCTGTTCACCAAGCCCTTGAGGATGAAGAGGTGCGAAAACAAGGGGGCCACAGCTGGCAGACCCCGCAACAGCTCAAGCAACCTGTCGACGAAGAGCTCGCTGTGAGCCCCCCCGTGGCCAGCCCATGCAATTCGATCTTCCTCCGGAGCTTCAGGCAGAGGATCGCAATGCGATGCTGGAGATGGCCCGGGCGCTGGTCCAAGGTGCACGGCGTGATGCCCACCACCGCCGCCTTGGCTGCTGGGGGGGCCCTGCTGGCTAGCTGGGGTAGCCATGTCCGAGCCTGTGCCCCCCTGCAAGAGCACGTGTCCTTGCTTCCTGCACGACGGGCAGAACATGGAATCACATGAAGTACATTTCCACATGCGTGCCCGAGCCTGGCGGTGAGCATGACAGTGGTCGCAATCACGGCCTGCGGCCGTCGGGATAAACACAGGCACGAGCACGCAGTTGCATCCAGCATGACACAAGAAATACTTGTTCCGCGAGCGTGCCGGACGCAGAGGAATAGCGGACCCGGCATCAGGAGGGTGAGCGGCTATGGCGTCCCCGACGGCCTGGAGGACCTGCTGAACCTCGAAAACATCACCTGTATCTGCCCCCGGATCCTCCACGTCCTCAACCTCCGGGCCCTCCACGGCCTCCTCCTCGCCATGCTCCTCGCCAGCACCTGCTGTCGCTGCACGCCGGGCCGCTTCTGCCGCCGCCAGCGCGCAGGAACGGCATACGTTCGCGTTGCACGGCTCGCACGCGAACGCCCAGCCGCCTCTGCCCCAGCCCTCTTCGCAACTCTCGCAAGAGCGACCTCGCTCGGGCCTCGCCCTCCTCAGCCTGGAGCCGCAACCCGGGCATCCGGGGATGCTGCCTGCTGGCGGCCCTGCTGTCTCTGGTGGCGGCGTTGCCGGAGCCACCCCCAGCCGCGCCCCCCATTGCCAAGGCTCCTCCTCCTCCTCCTCCGCCGCCGCCAGCTGCATCAGCGTGCCGTCGCCGACGAGGCCTTCTCCCCCTCCTCCTCCTCCTCCTTCTCCTCCTCCTCCTCCTCCTCCTCCTCCAAGCTGCCTCTCCTCTTCCTCCTCCTGCTCGTCGACGGCGCCGGCGAAGTCGCTGTCCGCCACGGGTGTCTGGGGGCATGGCCGCTCCCCCACCGACACCTCCATGTGCATGACGCGGTCTGCTAAGTCGCGCTGGACCTCTTCCAGGGTCTCGCGCGGCCTGCTGCGCCAGCGAACCTCCTGAGCTGCGGCCGCCTGTGCGTCCACCAACTCGCGGACCTGCGCCATGAAGTCCTTAGGAGGACCTGGATGTGTCTCCACGCCCTCCTCCGTCAAGTCGCGCAGCCACCCCCCGAGGAGCACGCGACGAGGCGACTCAGCTCCGGCTGGGCCCTCGGTGCACCATCTGCCACTGCGCCCACCAAGCACGCACAGCATCAGGCGTGACAGCCAGGTCCGCGGCTGCTGCCGCGACCGCCGCCTCGCCTCCTGTCTCGATGAGCCTCGCCAGCTTGTAGAGGTACTCGTGCGGGTGCGCCACGAGGGTGTGCTGCAGGCAGGGCTGGGTGGGATCCCAGAGCGCCCAGGCGCGGCCACTGAGGAAACCAAGCGGCCCGCAGCAGCACGCGACGGCGATGGCGACGCAGACGAACAAGACCGCCGTGAGGGCAATCGCAACGCCCACCTGCCATCGGGGCAGGCAGACGAGCGTGATGCCCTCCTCCGATTCCGTGGCCGCCTTGTCCATCCACACCTTCGCCTCCTCCATCCACTCCTTCACCGCGGTCGCCCCCATGGCCCCTGCCTGCCGAGCAGCTTCATGGACGTCGGGGTGACTCGCGGCCTGGTGGGCCCACAGGGCCCAAGGAGCGCCGCCTGCAGCACCGGCCAGAGCGGCCACGGCAGCGCCGCTCGGAGCAAAGCGCCGGAGGGCCATGGGGCGCGCCGGGAAGGAGGGGGGGTGAGGAGCGAACCTGGGACAGGGAGGAACGGGGCTTGAACCTCTCTCTCTCTCTCTCTCTCTCTCTCCCTCCCGTCGGCTACACGTAGGAATGGCCCTGGGCAAAGAGTGACTTTTGGTACGCGACTTTCGGGTGCCGCGGGGAGGCCGAGGCGGAGTGCGCGAGCGGCTGCAATCGCACCGCATTCAGCCATCTGGGGGCCCCAGGCGTGCCTCGGGGGAAGCACTGACCAGGTCAAAAAGGTTCAGTCTTAGGCCAGGCATGTCCCCCTACAGGCGGATTGTCGTCGAAAAATCAGAAATACTCACGAAATGCCCCCAAATAGTCAAAAACATGAAAAACAATCCCCAGACTGTGTTTTCACTGTTTCTGAATACTCCTCCTGTAGACGGACATGCCAGACTGAAGGTCATTCAGGCCTGGCAAACTCCTGTAAGCTCCTGCAGGATCCTGCGCGCGAGCTGGGTTCAAGGCACCCTGGCCGTGCAGGAGCCCGCAGGACCCGGTGTGCAGTGACCCCCGCCCCCTCGAGCCCCGAGGCGTGCCCGCACCAGAGGCCTCTCCGGCGCAAGGGCATCCTTACGCACACAGCGGAGGCGGGGTAGTGACCCGGGTAGTTCGGGCTGCCCACGCAGGAGCCCGACGTGGCGGCGCAGGGGCCGGAGATCGACAGCCACCACTGCCTCGCCGGGGCTTCCTCAGTCGCCGCGTCCTCCGCGGGCATCGGTGTGACGCGAGGAGGAGGAGAAGGATGAGGATGATGATGATGATGAGGAGGCGGTGACAGTAGGGGCCAGCCAGTCCACAAGAGAGCTTCCACAAGAAACCCAACCCTGGACCCCGGGGCGTCCGTCGATTCCTGGTGTGGGGGCGTCGCGCCCTCCACAGCAAAGCCATCGACACCCGAGGAACCCAGGGCACCCTGGAGGCAAGCAGGGTGCCTCTTGGCATGGGCCTCCACTCTTCGGGAACGTCGAGGAGGTCTGGATCCAGAGGGGCGATCTCGACGGTCGTTTGGGCGTCTCGGGTTGAGCTGTGGGGCATCAGGTCAGGCTTAGGGGCCTCGGGACTAGCGAAACCAACCTTGTCCAACGAAGCCCTCTGGCAACCTCCGAATTCGAGCAGGGACCGACGGTCCCGGCATTCCCATAGGCCTACCACGACATGGTCTTAGAATCCAAACACGTTCTAAGAACAAAGACGATGCCCTTAGAACATTTACCCGATGTGCTAAAACAAGACAGTCCCGACCAGAAATGCTCTAAGAACACCTCATGCAAACCGCAAAAGGTTCTTAGAACAGTGTTTGGTAGGCCTATAAGCACGCCAGGACGCTTCGCCACTGCTTGACGGCAACCTCCGCACTGGAGCCGGCCTCCTCCGAGGCGGGCAGCCGGCTCGCAAGCCGAGCGCGAGCGCCCCCCCCCCGCGGGGAGCAGCGCGAGAGCGCTGCCGCGCGCTCCGCCTGCCCGCGAGCGGCCGCGCGGTCGCCGAGGTTCCTCCTGCAGCTCTTCCTCCGTGCGCAGCCTCCTCCGGCTCCTCCACGCCCTGCTCCTTCCAGCTCCTCCAGTTCATCCTCCTCGTCCTCCTCTTGGCGGCCGGCGATCCTCCATCTCTTCGTCCTCGTCCTCGTCCTAGTCCTCGTCCTCGTCCTTCTCCTGCTCGCGC